ATAAAATGCATGAAAAGAATAATTCACAAACATGGTGAAGCCATCCCGGCAGTAACCAGACTTTGGATTGTTACCTGAACGCTTATCCTGCAGCACTGGACTAGACATAATGATCTTTTCAAGTAAGGAAAAACACACCACTTCTACCAGATGTGCCTCAGAGCTTTCAGTTAGTTGTAGGTCACTTAAAAATTGGGACCTCCAGAGGCAGAATGCAACTGCACTGCAAGAGAGCTGACTTGGTAATGAACAAGTCTGGCACTTGATGAATAATCAAACACCACTCTATTTACACAGCAGTGAGCCCAACATTACTTGGCTTGCCAGAATGAAATAATAAAAGCCTAAAACAACATGGTGTAAATTGTAAATGGTATTTATATTCTGCACACTAAAGCACTGCAAGAATTCTGCACTCTAAACCACCTCTTTTTGTTAACTGCTGAATAAAACAACAAAAGAAGTCACACTTACTCCTCTTTCTTGATTTCACTCCCAGGTAAGAGCTTGACATACGACTTTGGAAACCAACCCCTTCCTCCATGTACCTCTCCGAACCACCAGTTCTCCTGCTGCTCCAGGACAGTAATGATATCATTCTTTGAAAAATTCAAGTGGTTATCTTTTTTTGCAGTCCAAGAGCAAAGTGCTTGTGCTTTTAGGTTCTCGACAGGCTGCCCCTGTAAGACAGAAGTGGAGATGTTCATTGACCACACTACCCCAGACTGGTGCAAATGTTAAAACCAAACAAACACTGATGTATCTTTTATTGAAGCTTAAGCAACTCCATTCCTACGTGATGGCTGAGTAGGTTTTTTTTGCATTGATGTTTGCATGCAACTCAGTTTCTTATTTGTTAGAAATACCTCCTGCATCTAACTATAAGTGAGAATTATTTCAGAATTACAAAACATGAGCCTTCTTGTTCAATAGTCCCTGGAAACATGGAATTATATCAATGCACACTAATGGAGCATTCAAACAAGCTTCTTCGTCCTCTAGCCTGTTCAGTGCACCCAGCTTTAGCAAAGTTGTGTGTTGTTTTGGCTTCTCTTAAATCATTTTAATGAACATGAATCTAAACCACAGCAAGTTCCCCACTCTCACACAATGTACCTGCCCGTGAACGGGTGAAACAGATCCAGGGGACACAGTGCGAGTAAAAGCTGATTTCTGTTGCCAGGCTGTATTAACATTCAGGCTAGAAAAGGGGATGTTTTGGTAATCAGATTCTTCCGCAGATTTACTTGGTGAAAGTGGTCTGCAAATGGAACACAGGCATATTTACCAAATTACAATTTTTATTCAGTAAGTACCTCAAGCAGAGTATTTTTTTTAATATATATAAAACAGATTTGCTATACAACGGGAAACAGACTATCAAATACCTAAAAGTCTTAGCTTGGAAATTTTAAGGATGTTCTTCAATATGTTTTATGCCTTTATATTTTAAAAACAAACACCAAGTGAAACTATACAGCACACTATGTACTAGCCAAATTTAGAAAAAGCAATTTCAACACAAGCATAACAAAAACTCACTCTGAAGCAGCTGAGGTAGTAGATAAAGATACTGTAGGAGGAAGTAAGGCTTTCTTAGGAGATAAAGCTTTTTCTCCTTCTGGTATTTTTTCTACATAATTGCATGGAAACCAACCAAAATGTCCTTGAAAACTCCCATAAAGCCAACCAGGCTCTCCCACAGTTTTTTCATCAACCTATGGACAGGGGGATAAATAAAAAGGAAATAGAATTAGCAGTATGAAACAAATGGGGTACCTGGTGTGTCAGCACCTGCTGGCACTGAACTAAGCAGTGCTCACACAAGGATCAGCATTTTCATTCTCCCCTTTCAGAACTGAGCTGATTTTGCCCTGTTCACAAAACAGGGTAATGATGCAGCCACACTGGTTTCAGATACAGGTAGAGACAGGCCTCAAAGACATTATATTCCTCCAAACAGGTCCCAGACATGCACATGGGGGATCTTGTAGTGTATCTGGAGCCACTCTGGCTTGCCAAAAATTATAGTGCATTGTGTCGTGTTTTGCTGAATGTGCAGCCCACAGGCAGTGGCTGGAGAGCCCAGCAGAGCAGGGAAACAACCATTCTGCTTACAGGTATAATTAACTGTGTCAGCTGACTGCAACCAAAACACACCCAAAAGTGCTGCTGTTTACTGTATGATTAAGTATAGAGCATCCTTAAACATTCACAGCAATACTGAAGCTTCTATTATGCTGCAAATTAGCCAGTTAGTGAAAACTGGCTAAAAATTAGCAGCTCAAAATACTATCAGCTTGTTAGCTTAGCTGAGGTTTGGGGTGTAAGAGGAGGAGGAGGAGGTGGCAGCTGTTAGCCCATTTCTGAAATCAGGCACCAGTAGTTAAATGACACAATTATAGCTGAGAAGGAAGTCAAAACAAAACCTTCTTCTCTTGTTCCTTCTTCCAGGCTTCGATGGTATGAAAATGCAAATAAATGGTTTAACATTGTTAAACTGAAGCTTAATAGTCAAATAGTGTTTTAATATTTTGTACCACACTGCTTTGTAATTCTCCCTTATCACCTACCTATATCACTTATAGTCTGACTGAGGAGGAACCATAAGTACTTATACATTAGATATAAATATTAATTGTATTACCACAGCTGTAGATCAGTTTTCACAAGTTCACCTGAAGGCACAGGCTTTCAAGACAATGTATGCTGCCAAGTGATAGAATTACAAGAAATAACACAGATTTCAACTGAGATGCCACAAGGTATTTTCAGTCTTACAGTCCTGCTGTAATATTATATATAGCAAATTCAGCTGAACCCAGGAAAGTGCTACAAAGAAGAGACACTGAATAAATTACTGTAGGTATCTGTCTGAGGAAGGATTTATAAAGGACAGTCAGCAAGAGAATCATAGAATCATAATGGTTTGGGTTGGGAGAGACCTTAAAGATCATCTGTTTCCAACCTGTCTGCCAAGGGCAGGGACACCCTCCACTAGACCTGTTTGCTTAGAGAGGCAGAAATCTATGTTAAGAATATACTGGAAAACAGTATTAAAATTCAGAAGAGCCTTTAACATCTACTTGTTAAATAACTAGTTTGATTTTAATTCAAATACCATTAATTAATAATTCATGTCTCTGTTTACTGTGCTCATATTTCAAGCAGACACTTACAAGCCAACTTGTACATGTACAATGAACTGCAACAACTACATCATTTCGAGTCTACTAATTTTAGAAAGTTTATGTTTAGCATTCACTATGGTTATTTTTAAAGAGATTCTCAGCATCTTTAGGATTTGTAAGATTCAAAGAAATATTCTGGCTGAACTAACCCTAATTTCATCTATTTAAAAAAAAAAAAAAAAGCAGCAACCCAACTTAAATTTTAAGTAAACATTAAAATATATCAATGCAATGCTTTTGACCCTTATGACCTTGTGCATCTCAAGGTCATTTTTGCAATTTAAATGTGAATGGCAAATCTTACCTGAATTACATCCCCAGTATTAAAGCTCATCTCATCGTGGTTCCTTGCTTCAAATGGATACAACGCTCTGTAATTTACCAAGGCAACAGAATTCCTGGACTCTGCAACAGTAACTGCATTGCCTGGAAGGATAAGAAAACCAGTTACCATTTTGATACAGCTGAAAGACAAGCACTTAGTTGGAGTCCCATCATTTATCTTCTCATCTTTCCTTGCCACTCTGCTCTGTGGCTGCCACTGGCTAAGCCAGTGCTTTAATAGAGTCTCATTTAATACCATCATAATTTTCCAAGTTGAAAAGATACCACTGTTGCAGCAATAAGTGTTCATCAACATGTCTGAAGATTTTATTTAGAAACCTAAAATAGCAAAATATCACGGTTTATATTTTCTTTGCATCTCTGTTCTGCAATGAGTTACTAACAGTGAATGTTTTACAAGGTATAGCTGAGGTATGCAAATATTTTTCAGCCCTGTTCTAATTTGGTTTTTGCTGAACTCAGTGATAAAAGTGGCTAATAAAAATTGGCAAGGACTTATGAAGGATGAAACTAATCAAAAGTGTCTTTAGTGCAAATATTATTAAACCCCTATTTTTCCAAGTCCCACAGGCAGTTAGGTCTAGTCATTCAGTTCTTTGGTTTTTTTTAACATGAGGCATTGAGTAATGCAGAAACAAACTAGATTTCACTATTAATAAATCACTTTGCTGAGTGTTACCTGCCCATCTCTCATCACTGAACAAAAAACTCCATATTAACATTCTTTTTTAATGAAAGAAGGTGCAAGCCTTAAGAAAAAGCCAAAATATTACTCTTTCTAGTATCTGTGATTTGTTGATCACAGTCACTGGAAGATTTGTCATCAGTCATAGGTGCCAAAAACTGATAAAAGTAACCTAAGTTAATAGGATGTTTTATAACTAACTACAGACGTGAAACATCGCTGGTTTGGGTTTTTTAAATTATATCTTAGACAATGTCTAGGCCTGCCATGACATCACATTAACAATAATACATATGAAGAATGAAATAACACTCAGGAAAATAAAACCCATTAAAGCAAAAATGAAACAGACTAAGATTACCTTCATTTTTCCAGGGTGGCTTAAGACTTTTACCCTCTGTTGGTTTCAAAAGATCTGCAAACTTTTCATTTATGTTTATTTTAGAAGTGTGTTTCTCCATCTCTTGAGAGTTGGTTGCTTCTTTTATCTTTTTCATTTCTTCATTCTGCTTACGCCTCTCCTCAGCTTCTTTTGCTATTTGTTCTTGCTTTCTTTTATCTTCTTCCAGTTGCCTCTGCCTTTGTTGTTCTGCCTCCCTCAGGATTGTGGCTTGTCTACTTTTCTCCTCCTCTGCAAGAAGCTGTTGTTTGTTTTCCCTTTCTCTCATCTGAGCAAGTGCTTCTTCAGCTTTCAGCTTTTCTTGGACTTTTTCCTGCATCCGGTCTTCCTCCAGTCGCTTCTTTTTCTCTTCCTCTTCCCTTCGAATATTTTCCTGCCATCGGTTCTCCTTCTCCCGTTTTGCTTTCCTGAAAGGAAGGAATGAGACAGGTAAGAGAACATTCATATAAAAATGAATGAGATTGTGTTCCTAATTGATGGTACTTGTCAGCAAAGCTCAGTCTTGATCATTCTGCTCTCCGGGCAATCAGCTCTTCCATAGGAGACTGTGCTTGGTCTTAACATGAGTGCCAGTATATTCCACATAAAAACAACAAATGGATTAAAATTCTTGGTACAGAATGTAGTTCTGTGTTGCCACAGGGTTATTTCTGCAGTACCTTCATGAGCATTTCTGCCCATCTGCATCCTGATGAGCAAGAATTGATCTGTTAATTGAACCAAGCTGGATTTAGGCTTCCCACCAACATCCTATCCAAATTCCTGATGGGAAACAATCATTTCAAAACAGATTAATTTCACGCAGGTACATACATAGAAATAGCCTTTGAATACTGATCTTTGCTGCTGGAAGTATTTGCCTTCAGCAGTTGCAATACCCTAATTCCTGCCATGGCCACTCTTCAGCAGAGAGTGAAAATCTGACTGTATTCTCTGTAATTATTTAGCTGCTATCCTGTGCCCCAGCTGTCTAAAGAAGTTATTATCCAATTCAACATGATTAAAAATCATTGCAATGTAGCTGTCATTTCTTCAGAAAAGAAAGGATCTAACCCTTTGGGCCACCTTCTGTGGAGGTTGTTGAGGAGGGACCATGTCTAGATGAGACCATTTCATCAACTCACTGTGGGAGATCCACTTCCCTGACGGGCATTTTACTGTGCATCCAAGCACATGGCAGGACCTAGTAGAAGCTGTGCAGTGATGTTGTTACCCTATCACATAGCTGTGTTCAACCAAAAAATTAACACAAAATAGGTAGCTGATAGCAGAAGGTCCAGAGAGAGGGGAAAAAATTGAGTGGCATCTTAAGACAGACAGAACCAAACCTTAAAAACTAGTTTCTTAATCAGTCAAACAAAATAAACCAAAACTAGTCTGGAGCAAGACTATGAGAAATTAAAAGATGAGAACAGTAAGATATTGAGTGCTTGATACAAGATTGGGCGGAGCAAAACCAGGACACATGTAAGTGAAGGGATGATCCTCTCAAACAGAACTGAATTTTCTCACTGTCCTCCCTCCTATAAAAGGAACCAAATTTAAAATTCATAGGTTGCTCACTCATCCAGCTTTCCAGACTAGCATAGGAATTAAGCAGTCAATGCCCTTCCTTAAGGAAGTATCAATCTCACAACTGCTGGGATATACGTGACAAAAACCTGGCAACTGCTCAGTCAGAAGTGCTTTTAAAGAAGTCAGATGTTTGGAGGCAACCGAAACAAGACAGAATATATGAGGAATTTTAAATGTCTGAAGATTATCTATTAAAGGTACTAAAAATCCTAATAGCTAAAAAGTGACTACTTGGTTTATTTATACATCAAAGCTGAATTACAAAGTTTGCTTTTATCTTTGTTTCTAAACAGATTGGAAAGAGGAAATTCAAACCATCTTACACCAGTGGTAGTCCACATAAAATGTTTCCTCTAAGCAACCAACAGGACGTATTTTTACATTCAAATACATATATATATATATATATGTACACATACATATATCTTAAAAGTCACTACAACATTATTTTGCTTTAAAAACTGCAATGCTGATACATTCAGCCATGGTACCTTGCAGCCTCATCTTCCAGTCTCTTCTGCTGTACAAGTTCAGTTCTTCTTTTTTCTATCTCCCTTATTTTGTCCTGTTTGATCCTGTGGAGCTGCTCCAAGGCTAATTGCTGTGTGCTGTAACTTTCTCTCAGGTCCTAGGGAGGGAACACAATGAAGTACATCAAAGGGAACAAAGCCAATCTTTGAGAAAAGCAATCCAGGCATTTTAATGCTTTTTGAACCAAGTTTTAATACAAATGGCCAAAGCAGTATTAAGTTATTAACAGTCCTTGGAGGTCACTGTAAAGAAGATCAAATCAACAGAAGGATAAAGGGAGATGGCAAGTTTGCAAAGTCAGTGACGTATTTTAGGCTTTCAAAGAGCCCTTCCAGTCATACACCTGCTGGAAATGCCAAATATAACAGAGAGTGGAAGACACAAAACTGAGTGTTCAAACACAACATTATCTAAGGGCAGAGAAGGCAGTGAAGCATATTTTAAATAACTACAAGGAGGCAGATTTCAGCTGAAAGCCAACACAGTACCATAAAGTTGAGAACACATCCCTGCAGTGGGGGGCTTGCCTTTGTGATGCTTTCTGAATGATCAGTCCCATATTTAAATCAGAAAAACTTTAAAAAACTACCCAGCAGGCTTACCACTGTGGGAAGCCATAGCTTAAAGACACTAACTCTGACTGGAGTTCTCCTGTATTTGTAAACTTCACAATTTTAGTTTTTTTCTTTTGAGCACATCCTTCAAATCCTATTCCACCTCCCTCTGATAACAACCGTTTTTCAGAGCAAAACATCAGCATGAATCCTTGGAATAATTAAATTTACAGAAGAAAAAAAAAATCAACAATAATAGAATTACTTTAGATTGTACTTCACCATGTTACAAAACATCTGTAAGATAGAGTGTTTTTTCTTAAAAATCCTATTGATACACATTGAGCAATGCAACAGGATCGATCTCATAAATACAACCAAAGCAATTAAGAACGATCCATTCCCACTACAATGTGCAACTCTATCAATAATCATGTTGCCTAAGAGATACTGTGTAATTTACAGGACAAAGGCAAGATAACAAGATTGCTGTGTCAGTGAAAGTCTCTGTAGCAACAAACTAAATCAAGCAATTGACTGCAATTTCCTCCCAAACATATTCAGCTGAGAATACTTTTTCTTCTCATTTTGTATAAAAATTCAGGGTTGCTTCAGAAGCAAACTTGCATTATAAAAACTCTCATATCTTTCATTTAAGGACAGAAAAACCCTTATGCAAAATGAAAAGCTCAGTAAAGTAATTCTGACTTTCTTTTCCACTCATAAATTATTCTCAAAGTCAGATTTCTGACCCCAGCAGACAAAAGCAGTGTTGAAGAAAGACGGCAAGTAGGTTTTTAGTACTGGGTTAATCTGGAGGTTGAACAACATTGTGTTTGCCATGTCATAGGTCATAATCTGCATACTGATGCTATTTCTATACTTTTAAACTTGGATAAGAATCCATATACCTGACTCACAGCTTCAGATGCATGGATACATGGAGACAGCAACAGATGAAAAAGTGGGAGAGGACACTGTTTTCATCTGAGACAATATTTTTTTGTTTCACATTACCTTAACTAAGAAGAAAAATACCTGGATAAAACAATTTAGTGGACAGTTTATTAAGAAATAAAAAGTCAATATTTTGCTATCAGTATTTTGCAGTTTGGATTTCTAAGCAGGTAAGAAAATGTTAAGTCTTTAAGAGGATGTAAAAGCTAGCAGAAAGAAAAACAGCCTATCAATTGTCTATTAGGAAAATGTATTTAATAGAAGTTGTACAACTAAACAGAAAGGGTAAGCAGAGAAAAATTGCGAAATAATTAAAAAACCAAAAAAGCCAAAGATTAGAAAATAACCTTAAGTAAGAGGAAGAGGTTGTTGAGACAGCTTAGCAGAGACAAAAGGCACTGAAGAACAGAATCATCCATATTCTCACACTGTAAGATAAGGTAGATAAAAAGCCAATTAATCTTTGCACTGTATTTTGAAAAACATATTTGAGGGAAGACTGAATTGTGGATGCAGCCACTGAACACAGCAAGCCATGCAATAAACAAGTAACTGAAAAAGCATGTTGTATGAAGCCATTTCTAAAAAGAAAAGAAATTCCTTAAATGTTTACAAATTTTTGTGTTTTTTTTTTTTTTTTAACTGGGAGAGTGCAGAGCTCTCACTCTGATCCATCATTAATCCATTACTTAAGGAAAAAGTTCCCATCAGTGCCACTAGGAGTAAGCTGGTAAATAAAGTTAAGTGGATGCTACCCTGTGAGAGGTGCCTGAGGTTTTAGACAAGGCAAGAGTGGCCTCTGAAACAAAAACACCTTCAAGGACAGTGGTCAATAATTCATAACTTCTACACAAATAGGTGGCCTAGGCCTTAGGATAATACCTAAGGATTAGGTGATCTTTGGATAATACCTAAATCTGCCACCAGATTTTGTACAGTGTACTACGAGAACACGTGCTTCTTTTAATAAAAGTTAAATGTTCAGTGCACAATTCAAAAATAATAGCCAATACGACCTCATAATGTAAGAACAGAATTTGCAAGGGTCTGAAAAACTTTAATTCTAAATGAAAAAAAATATTCTAGAAGGCAAAAGGTGAGAGTGAGCAACAGCTGAGTCATGCAAAGCAATGATTAGCAAGAGATTCATATTTTAGTACGTTAGCAATAGATTTAAGTGCATTTTTATTGTATTATTTACTCCAAGACTTTTGGTAACTCTTATTTGACACTGGAAGTTGGGGAAAGCTTTTTGGAAGTCTGGTAGAAGTGGCATCAATCTTTATGACCGGATGAAGAAATAAAATATAGTGCTTACAGGTGTAAGATATTTAGGTAATGCACGTACCTTAAGCTGACTGTTAAATTCATCCATTTCAGCAAGTTTAGAAGCAGTTTCCTTCTCAAGGGCATCTAATTGTTCCTTAAGTCTTTGGCATAATTCTTCCTTTTCTACGGACTTCTTGGTCACTGAACTGACTCCTGTACCTGCATAAGGAAAGACAAACAATTTTACAAGAATTTCTGTTTTCACTATTTTATTATTTTCCTAATATAAACACATTCCTAACCTCTTTCCTCAAAAAAATTCCTTGGTTCACCTTTCTATTCATATACAGCTTGAAGAAGAAATGGCCCCAACACTGAACTGAGACATACAGGCATTACATGGAATATATACAGAATAATTTGCAATTTGGGTGTGGTTTTTTTTAATATCAGACCAATTCATAGCAAACGTCTCTAGACAGTGACTTCCAGTGTGGTTTGATGTGAAGACCAATGTAAACTTTACATGAATTAATTCCCTTGAGTCTACACTACCAAAAAACAGACGAATTTTAATACTATGGGCCACATAGCCTGTATACGTAGATTTTCAAGACAAAGTTTCAAGCAAAATCTGTGCTTTCTTGCAAAAATGTGTTTGTTTACCCCTTATCTAGAACATGAGGGGAAAAATGGAATGTAGATGAAACAATGGCTTTAACTGAAAAGATATAGAAGTGAAGGTGTTATTAACACATTTGTATCCTTCAGACTTGTTTACAAGAGATGAAAAGTCAGCAGTGCAAACAGAAGAGAATTCACTTGCAAGCACTTACTCTGAGTGTTTTCAAGTTGAGCATTTTTTATCCTTTCATTTAACAACTGCTTTTCAGGAACCAAATAAATTAGTTTATTCTGATAATCCTGTAGATATTGAAGGGAACATGACAAATTTTTAATATTGTTTATAAATCAGCAAGTAAAAATGAGTGAAATTTCAAACATAACTTCAACTCATATTAATGAAACATGGATGCAAGTTACCATTATGGGGTAAAGGAAAATATGACCTCTATACTCTCAATAGAAATAGTATTAAAATTGAAAGCTTTTGACCCAAAAGCATTAACACAGCTGGAAGAAATTTTAACAGACATGTTAAAAGTGTAAATATTATCATGAGACCATTTAAGTTGACTGCCCTAAGCTTAACATAAAACAGTAACAAAAAGAAAAGATGTTTCCCTGACGTGCAAAAGCATTAATAAAAATACAGTACAGGATGATTCATGGTAGTCAACTGATTTGAAATAATTTATGTCTTGTTATTCAAAGAGAGGGGAAAAAAAAAAAAGAGCAGCAAGGTAATTCAGCCTAAAGATTAACTTGTTCTGGATACAGGACAACACTCCTCATAAAAATTTGAGTCTGGAGCCATAAAAGAACTCATAACTGAAGAGAAGTCCCTTTAATCAGTTCACAAAAGACCAGCTGCGGTTTTGACAACTGTTCTCATTTAACTATCAGCTCACTGTACTATATATAATCATTTCTTTAACACCACACATAAGCTAAAAACCTCTGCTGTGCTGACAGCCTTTCCTCTCTCCACTATAATCCAACTGATTCCCTATTCCTCCCTATGGGGAAGCATTATCAACAGTGTTATGGAAACAGAATACAGTAAAGGAAAATTACAAGCTTAACAGAAAGTTACATACCTCAAGCTGTTGTTGTAGTTGCTTGACTTCCATGATTCCTTGGTCATATTTCCTATCTAAAGCCTCCAGTTCAGTTTTTCTAGCTTGCTTTTTGCTACGAATATCTTGCAGTCTGCCTGAGATTTGCTTATGTTTGTCGGTCTAGAAAGAAATCAAAGACAGATTATACCACATATGGAAAAAGTCACTTCACTAAATCTGTGGGCAGATCAGTTCACAATCAATTCTTTAAAACAACCCAAAATACCTGCTTTAGATTCCTCACCCAGAACAGAGTGAAACTCCTAGTGGGCCATTAATGCAGACATTAAGATTTGTATAGTTTAAAATACCATATTTCAACATGTGTAGTGAAATTCCTGTCTTACCAGAGCTTCTAATTCAAGATTGAGGCTCTTCTTTTTAGAGGTCAACTTGACAATTTCTTCTTGTTCCCTGTTACGTTGATTAAGAAGTTCTTGGCGACGAATTCTCTCCCATTCCAATCGTCGCTGGCGCTCAAGTTCTTGCTTTGCTGCCTGTACAAAAGTTACATTACCTTAAATTACAACAGAGATGCAGAACTCAGAGACCATAATTTAATGTAATGTGCTCTATTTCTGAACAGCATAACAGCAACACAACATAATGTCTTCTGTAAAGTGCTTTTATATACTTCAGCATCAAAGAAGGCAGGAAGTGATCCTGTAAGATTCTTCATGTCATGCTCCCAAGCCTGGATGAAGAAAAGCTACATAATTCTAATTGTAGCTATGGAATACTGCCCAAAAAATATCACATTGACAGATACTGCTCGAAATCTCCTCTGAGTATTTCACAGAACTACATAAAACAGACAAGTCTGATGCATGTGCTGAGACACCAAGTAGTAGCAAATTTGTCTCAAGTTCAGCTGTCAAAATGTTATCAATTATGAATTCAGTACAATCTCGTTTGGAATACAAATTTTTGCAAAAATCCAAGAAAATCTCATCTGTCCTATGAAGTATCTGAAAATCTTTAACCCATGCCAAACACTCGATTCATCTCTAACAGACACAATGTTTTCAGACACAAATGACATTCTTTCTCCAAGACCATCTGCCAGTGGCCATGCGAGGGGACAGAACCAAAGTCAGCGTTCAAATCCTGAATGCTCTGCCAAGTGGATACTGTATGATTGTACACATTCCTTAGAGCAATAAAAAATAAATTCAAGAAAACAACCTCCCGCCTTTCTATTTCTTTCCTCCTTTCTTCTTCCCTTTGTCTTTCCAGCTCTCGTTGTCTCTCCAGCTGCCTTTCCATTTCGAGCTGTCTTTTCCGTTCCTGTTCCTGACGTTCCCTCTCCCTTCGCTCTTGTTCTTCTCTCTCTTTCTGAGCCTTGCGTTCAGCCTCTCTCTGTTGCTGCTCCAGCAGGACCTGGCGGCGTTTTTCCAGCTCCATATTTCCCCTCTCATAGTTGGCTTTCCTTTTGTCCTCAAATGTCACTAAAATAAGGAAAGGTTGTTATTTCTGTTCGGTGCAAAACACTGCTCTCAAACAAACACCTCACTTATGCCACTAAAGATAGATACTTTTTGGCAAGCTCTGGTTGCTCAATCATGGATGATGTAAGCATCTTGCACTTGTTAAACTATTATTTTTCTGTTCAAAAATACCTCTAAATTTTCCTAATTCTATTCCAATTGAAACAAAAAAAAAAAAAGAAAAAAAAAGGAAAAAAAAAGAGTTGCAGTTTACGAATGACCACAAAAATGACTTGAATGTTAGAGGAAAGCCTCTAGAGTCTAAAAAATGAAAGAGGAAAGAATGTTACAGGAAAACATAAAAGAACAGCTTTTACAAGCTGGGAGAAGACTGTCTGCTGTTAAAAAGGTTTTCCAAGGTACAAGAAACATTAAAACACAGACAAAGGGCTTAGTTTTTAAGGGTGTTCCCTGCAAGTCCTCCTGGAGTTAAAACCATCAGAAACCAAGACAGGATCAAGCTCAATTACTGCACACAAGGATAAAAAGAGATACAAAGCAATGGTTTAGGCCCCCAGCAACCACCCTGCCAGAAAGAGAGGCAAGTCCTGTCTCGCAGTATGCATGTAAGAGACCTGTGCAAGTAGCACGAGAGAGTCAACAGTAGAATCTGTGTTTGTGCAAATTGCATCCAGTTTTCAGAGAATTAAATTACATTGGAACCCCCTGCTTTCAGAATGTCCAGAACAAAGTAATGCCAGGGAGTTTCAACTGAAAAAAAAATTGCAGTAGCATCGTGGTATTTGGCTGTGAAGGATTTATTTTCCAAAATACATTATTAATCAGCACAATTTTCCTTTCCTACAGCTAAAAATAGCCCTTGTTTCTGCCTGCTCAATTCTATTAGATGTAACAGGCTGACTACATCTACTTAACAGTCTTCCTATCATCCAAGTTAAAAGGGATTTAGCTCCTGAAACGAAGCTCTCTACAGATTTGATTGTGTCTTCCACTCTCTACAGGTTTCAGTGCCTTTCAGAAACTGTACATTAAGGATGTGAACCCTCTTCTACCTGGCTGTTTTTTCTGTGGCTCCTCCTCTTGCACAGGCTGGTAAGATGGCAGAGTTCCATTTATATTTTCAGTATATTTTCCACTCCTGGAGGGGAAAAAACCCAAACCACCATTGTTAGAGGAACAGCACAGTTATGTTCAGTGCATTATGTTTCACTGCCCTCAGTGATTACCTGAAGGAAGGTGGTACCAGCTCGAGAGGCAGAGTCAGTGGCAGTGGTTGCCCAGCTTTGGCCATGTCTGTGAGGTGCATGGCCAGCACAAACTCATCAGCCTTCAGCTGCCCATCTCCATCAATATCAGCCAGTGACCTGCAGGGTTTTAACAGCAATACCAATTAGGAACAAACAGCACAATCCCTCACAAGTGACAGCTGAAACTATTTACTGTAATTTTTAAAATAGAGAATTCCTGTGAAATGTTCTGGTAAAAATACTATTAATAACATGAATAATTGATGAAGGGGATAATATTTTTTTAATAATGTACTGTTATCCAGATCATAGAATTCCAGAATGGTTTGGGTTGGAAGGGAACCTAAAGATCATTCAGTTCCAACTCCCTGCCATGGACACCTCCCCCTAGACCAGGTTGCTGAGAGCCCCATCCAGCCTGACCTTGAACACTTCCAGGGATGGGGCAGCCACAGCTTCTCTGGGCAACCTGTGCCAGTGTCTCACCACCCTCACAGTAAAGAATTTCTTCCTAATATCCAATCTGAATCTGGCCTCTTTCAGTTTGAAGCCATACCCCCTTGTCCCTTCACCGCAGGCCCTTGCAAATAGTCTCTCTCCATATTTCTTGTAGGCTCCCTTCAGGTACTGGAAAGCTGCAATTAGGTCAGCCTGAAGCTTTCTCTTTTCCAGGCTAAACAATCCCAATTCTCTTATTAAGTTTCCCCAAAATACTGCAAAAAGGATAGGAAAGGGTGAAAGATATCTCTTGATTTATTGTATCACCAATAGAAGAACTGGGAAGAGAATCCAGGACTGCTCTTAACCAGCTCAAAAATGCTAGAAAACACTTTTTCAACTGTTTTTTTAAAGCAAAAGAAAACATTATATAAAATTACATCAAATTCTACAACAGGAACCTTTGCATAGAATTCTTTTTCCCCTTTGTGTCTCCTTGACAGTGTAGGGAATACATGAGCTGCCCCAGAGTACCTTTCATTGGGTAGGAAAAAGATCACCTACACCCTCTAAGGAGAAGGTGACTGTATAATCAGCTTATAAAATGTTTCCCATGCAACTGGGGGGTGGTGGTATGTGTGTGGGAAACCAATGAAATGGTTCCAGAGATGCAGGCAAGAAAGATCTTTGAGAAAGGATCCTGCTATCTACGTACATACTATTGCTGGAATGTATCCTTAGACTGCAATTGAGTGAAATGCTTAACAAAATAACTAATCACTAAAAAAAGCAGTAAAAAAAAAGCCCCTATGAAAAACAACAAAACAAACAAAACAATCCTCATCACCCACACATATAAACCACAGTGAAAAACAAAAGCAGGAGATGATGAAATGTGATTTTTGTTATGTTCACACACCAGCAATATTCACATATAACAGCACCATTATTACAGTAATTACCATGAATACAGCACCCAATAAAAATATTACTAATTCCTTACTTTGGGCAAAACTGAAACTTGGGCTGTTAATCCTCTCTACATGGGCACACAGACCACCTTGCACGGGCTACTGATACCTTCAGGATACGCACCCAGGAGAAAAACAGACCCTACACACCTGCTTTATTCCCCCGCACTCTGGAGCTGACCTATACAACCCACACTCCCTGTTCACCTTTGCAGCATGTAACCAAACAAGCTGAACAAATAAAAAGAACATTATGGCTTGCTGCTGCTAAAGACAAATGACTGTCTTGGGATGCAGGAAGAAAGGAAGCTGAAGAGAAGATGTAAAGCACCAAGCTATTGTGAATTCTGCTGGGCCACTAAATCTTATGCATAACATCTGAGTTATGTCTGAAGGTGTAACCTAAACTACCACGGCTAGCAGGGCAGATTATTAAAAGCCTTCAGACAACTGTAACCACTTCTATCACCACAATAAAGGCAAGTCCTAACAAATGTGTAGTATGCAGGTATCTTTATGGAAACCACAGTAAAACTCAAAAAGGCTGAAGGGTTACTTAATTTTCAATCTTCCTCCATATTTTAAAGCTAACAAGCTAGTTTTCAGAATCCTACATCTGAAATAAATGAACCCTCATTTCTGATGAACTAGTGCAACCCTGAATCAGAAACTGAAATTAGTAACTGTTCTATTACACGGACTTTAACAAACAGAGTGAAAAATTATGTCAAGGTGTCTTTTGGAAATGTAACTAATGAACAAACTAGTTTAAGTAGCAGCTTAGTTTCTGTTTATGATTTTAGATCTGTGGTGTCTCTTTATAATTTCTTATTTAATAAAGCACATTTCCTCTATTAACACCATAAACACACTGAATTTCTAATCAGTAACCAAACTCACCAAATAGTAGCCAGCTGAGTCTGTGAAAGGTTTGATTGCAGAAGGGCATTCCTTGCTTGAAATCCTTAGTGAGAGTGTGAAAGATTTTAACCAAAATAAGCACTTCATTCAAAGATTCACGAGGCAAAAAATGGGTCATGAACTGGGGCATGTTTATTTTTTGTATTAATCTAATCCATTTTCATCAGTTGGTTTTACTTCCAGGCTTAACAACAGGCATTACAACCTGAACACAATGAAGATATAAGTATTCTCGTGTACATTTTTTTCACTCAGAGGACCTAACAGGAAAGCTGACATGAAAAAAGGATATTTATGGTAATCCCCACAGCTGTTACAAAAGCACAGCTGACTGTCTACCTAAACCTTCAGCTAGCACACTGGAAAGCTGTCAGCTTTCTTTGGTAGCAAAGAACCATATACCCTTCTAGGCAGCTTGATGGAACCTTCAGCCCCAAATCAACTGAACAAGCTAAAAAGCATTCTTATATTAACTTCATGTGAAGTCTTTTGAAACCACCATAATGCTGTGGCACAGCACAGATGTCACTGCAAGTCAAGAAGGAATGACTCCCTTAAATTACTTTGTAAAAATTCCAAATAAACCCCAGGTATCTAAGCAATGACTAACACAGATACATAGGAGCACATGGCACAAAAATGATTGTGAATTTCCCCCATTTTCAAAAGAAACAGTCTCAGTTTGAAAAATGCCTGCTGACTTTACAGAGCTAAATTCCACAGCCTTATGGTTAGTTCTCGGGCTCTTCTACTTCGATCCCATCACTGCCATGTTTCTCCTCTTCCCTGCAACAGCTGCTGTAGCTTCCCCAGTGTATCTGGCTTCTCCAGGTCTAACACAGAGCCCAAGTCAATGAACTGATGGTTATTTCCATTTCTTGGCTGGCTGAAACCCACTCTCTCCTGCACAGGTCTGAATATCAACACTTTCATCTTTTATTTCATATGCAAGTCAAATCCCAAGATGGGATTCCATCCCTCACCCTGTGATGTCCCAGAGGCAGAAAACAGTATTTTTTCCCAACCATACCAAACATCATACTCACCTGATAAATATCCACTCATACTTTTGTCAAGACTGTTAAATTTCTGTCTGTATTTTAATCTGGAGGCCTGAGGAACTGCCCAGTCTGAGGTTGTAATCTTTGGTGAATTCCCAGCTAGTGATGCACTAGAGGAAGAATTTGAACTGCAATATAATTTCAAAACCAAACAAAAAAAAACCAAAGCAAAAATGAAACCAACCAACCAAACATTAAAATAAAACCAAAAGAGAAAAAGAGATAAAGAAAGAACTCTAAGTCACTTGGCTTGGTAGGCAGGCTTTGGAATAGAAGATATATAGCATTTTCTGATAATATGAAACAACTTCCACAAAGTTTTACCTCTAATAACTTGCTACAAATATTTTCATCACAAATACGGAATTTTACTGTGAAAGTAGGGACACATATTTATAAGGAAACTCTTGAATTGAAGATCTTGTTCCTTTAGTATCACAGGCACTTATGCCACATAATTCATCATTTTACCACTGCAAATTATAGTATAGGAAACCATAGGAAAACACCTCAACTTTCCTAGGAGTGTTTACAAGGACTGTGAAGCCTTGGGCAGATGTCCAAGTAACTTCAAGAGGTATGCAAATGAAGAAGCATGAGAATAAAAATGCACCTGATAAACTCATAACCAAAAGCAGCTTCTGACGCTGTTTAAACCACCATATTCCATCTCTACCTCTTCTATTACTGACAATGACGGGCTGAATGGAGCTTTTCCAACTCATTCAGCTTCTGCAGAATGGTGCTGATGGAGTGTTCAGATATACCTATGAAACTTCCATCTGCTACTCCCAGCATTCCCAGTGTCCCATCTTTGAAAATGAGACAAACCCAGGGGCATCCAGCCTGCCTTGTTCAAGGTAATCCCCTACCCTGTCAAGTAAAAAACTATTGGAATTGTTATCCAAGGCGACGGAGAATGGTGATAGAAACAAAGCCTTTCCAGCAGGATGCTGGACAGTCATCCTCTGCAGAGAATTGGACAATATGATGGTGAAAATGCTGCCAACAGTAACACTGAAGAAGAGCTACCTTGCAACACTATAGCATCACCAAAAGAAAGCTTTCTGGTGAAAAAAACCACCAAAGAAAACCAGAAAGATTATTCCAGACACACACCATGCCTACAGTCATCTTACATCTGCTAACGTGAGGAGCCCAAATCCACCCCAAATGCCCTGTGCAGGCAGCAAATGGGTGCAAGAGCCTCTGAGTCACCCTATGGAACTGAGCTGGGGCTGAGATGCCCTCTGGACTGTCTTTTTGGAGACATCCCTGGATGCCCAACTGGATAGATAAGCCTAGTCCCTCACTCTGTCTACAGCAAAGCTCTAAAATTAGTGAACTAGAGCAGCTATTATCAAGATTCATTATCTTCCATTATTCATAAAACAAATTCACACATAAATATTGATAACAAATCCTATTCTTATATGGTTGCTGATTACATGGTGCTCTCTATAATGAATGAGCACATCAATGCACTTTTGCTTTTATAACCACTTGGTAATTTTTACTTCTACTTACTAAAGAGGTACATCTCCTTCTTTGTCACAAAATGGTTAGGGTTGGGACAAACCTGTAAGACCATCAAGCCCAATGATCAACCCGGCACCATCACCACATTCACCACTAAATCATGTCCTCAAGTGCCATATCCATATTTTGGCACCGCCTTCTCTCATTTCAAGTCCTCCCCTACTTCAGATAGTTTTTTGAGATTTACTGAAAATATTACTTATTGTGCATATAAAAAAAAAATCTATTTTCAGACTTGGCAGGTCAAATTAGATAAACTAATTTTTAATGACTATATCTTAAAAACAGAAATAATCCCTAAGTTTTGGAAGGTATACTACTTAAGAGCAGGACACAACTTATATGCTGAACTTTCATACCTGCTAGATCCTAAATCAATGAGAGACTGTGCCTTCTGTATATTAGAACCACCAAACCCTCCTGCCACAGGACCTAAAGAACCAGTATGAGGCAGCGCTGAAAACAAACAAACAAAAATAAAAAATAAACCCAAAGAAACTGTGAAGCAACCAGGTATAAGATAATGCTTTATAATCAACATTCAAGGCTTTGATAAAAGAAAAGCTAATTAAGTGCCTTGTTGTTAAGATTAACTAGTTAGAACAGAATTAACGCGTAAACTTTGAAAAAAACACCATTTGTGGGTTGTTTTTTGTTTTGTTTTTTTAAACTCTCATGCACGTATTAACATCGCTGTCTGAAATTAGCCAAAGAGAAAATGAGATTCACAGTTCTGAGAGCGAGTACTGGACTGTTCTATACTTACTTGAAGAGAAAGGTACGGACAAAGGCTGCAGAAGGCTGGATGTTCCATTTGGCAACGAGGAGGTACTGACAGAAGGCACCAGGGGAGCAGAAATAACCAAAGGAGGAATGGAAGTCATGGAAGCCAGAGACATGGGAGCTAATGGTGTGATCGTAGACACAGATGTTGGCATGGACAGATTTGGCATACTACCCATTCCTAGAGCAAAATCCAATAATTCATGATTTAATATTGCAGAGGCTTCAGCATGAAATTGGGTCCCTTATGCTAGGCAGAAACTACACAAAGCAACCTGTGTCTGGAACACAGTGAGTTAAAATAGATGCTCATGTATAATATCTACCTTTTCTCTAAATTTAGACAAGACAGCTCACAGAGGAAAATATACTGAAGAATGTGAATTGAAAAAAAACCTTTATGAACAAATTCATTCTCAAGGTAGATTTAGTTATTATTCCACAACAGAATAAGAACTACTTTTCTATAATTGCAGCTATTACTCGTTCTTCAACAAACCTTTCCCCATCTGGCCCCTGAAAGAGAATTACAACACACCTCAAAAGCTGTGACAATGCTCTACAGGGAAAAGCTGATGCTGTTTCTGAACTCTCTTCCAAGTGTCAGCCTTGGAAGAATCCATAGGGTGAAAAGTCCTTCCTTAGGGGCCAATGTTTAGCAAAGGGTTTCTTGAAGGCAGCTGCCCAAGGAAAATAAGGGCACTTGAATTACTGGCTGAATGTTGTGCAAGACAACAGGTGAGATGATGGAAAGTTAGCAGGAGGTAACTGCAGGCCAACCACAGCTCTCTGTAAATGCATGCCCTTGTATGCAAACACACGAGGGCAGGCATTAGTGAAGGGCAGGCATTCTAAATCATGTATGTAATTAATATATGCATACATTTAATTTCAGCATGGATGTATGCACCAATTTTTTAATCCAGATGAAGTTATGGATATTTTGTTCTACAAAACAACAAAATAACAACAAACATGCACTGAATGCCCAAATACCATCAGAAAGGAATAAAAGTTAAAGTAATTCTGTTCAGTTAATCATTTAACCAGAGCAGACAATCTGATTCACTTTGAAAAAATGTGTAAAATAACTGTTCTACCAAAATGCTGATCTTTGACTAAATTTGACTTCAAAACCCTCATGTATAAATAGGTGAATGAGTAGGAGGGAGACAAAAAAAGACCACGAGTACAAAATCAGAGCCTGCGAGTCAGATGGCAGACCTGAATGGCCTTCTTGCACCCCATGTCAATATTCAATGGAAGGTTTTTCTTTATTATTAAACATCTTCATAGAATGAAATTATCAAAAACATCAAGAAAGTGACTTGATGAATATCCTAAATAGGAATATCCTGGGGGTTTTTTTCACTGAATCACTAAACTTTCATGGTCAGATTAATGCTTTTATTTGGCTGCAATTAACTGTAGCTTTTTACCTCTGAACACTAAGTAATTATATATTCATAAGTACCAAAGCGAGCAGACATTAGTGGCGAAAATACTGGAGCTTGTTTCATGACAGGAGGGAGAACTGCAGGCAAGTGCTGTCCTTGCAATGTCAGCTTGATGAGTTTCATGGCTATAGAGAACTCCTGTTGATCCATTTTTCCATCCTTGTTCAGGTCTGATAGTGTCCTTAAAAACAAAATAAAATAAAAATTAGAAAAACCCATGAGGAAGAAACATGAATTTAACTTTTTTAATTAACAAGAAGCTTTTCTATCAGATTTATTTACTGGTTTTGTACAGGAAAACAAAAAACTTGCTGCGACCATTTGCTGACTTTCTTTTGACATTTATACCCTCAGAAGTTTAAGAAGTTTCACTACCCACTTTGCAGTCTTCTTCAGAGTTCAGTTTTAAAGTTGCTGTATATTAAATACTTAATTCCTGAGAAAGTAGGAAAACATTTGAAAAACCAGAAGTCTCCTGCCCAGGGATACACTTGTTGCCTCCACTGCAAACTTCTGCTATGCTTTTTTCTATGCTACTAGCCAGAATAATTATTTTAAATTAACGTTGGTAATGTAAGGAATTAATGCAAGAATCTGAAACAGGATGCAGGAGGATGCAGAAATCTGCTGAGGGCACTTTCATACACCACTATGAAAACTTCATTAATTCAACAACAGCATAAGGAGGTTTTTTTAAGCCTGATATCCACAGTGTTTGACACTTTTCCAAATAAACTTAAATACAGCAAGAAATTCATGTAACAGTGCATATATAGCCACAAAATTTCTGGTCAGACAAAAAACATGAAATATTATTAATACTTAAGCGTGCAAGGACCAAGTTCAGGAATATAAATAAAATTAGGAAGGAGGAAAAAAAAAAATCCAGACAATGTTAAGCTACATTTTCTCTTTCATTCTGTTACATTCAGCATAAAACCCCAAGGCCTCGCAGAAAAATTTCCTTGCATTCTTTTCTAGGCATTTAAATGTCTGGTTCAGTGGTGAACAGGGTGGTGGTGCTGGGTTGATGGTTGAACTTGATGACCCTAGAAGTCTTTTCTAACCTTAACTATTACACGTGTCTGAAGAAAAAAAACTAACTTGCATTTAGTTTCTTTAATATTCTTTCACAAGTGAGTTGTTCTTAATTATTAAGAGCCTCAACTACGTGCCTTTTAGCCCATGTATGTCTTGGTAACAGCCATGTTCCCCAAAATGAACACAGGATTCTAGTGAAGACCGAGGAGTTACAAGGAAGAAAACATCTGTTTCAAGTGTTGCCATCACCATGGATATGCTGCAGGGAACAGCACTCTTCCCAGTTCCTGTATTACAGCACTGGTTGGTATCTCACAGTGTATTACAACTGTCCTTCTACTAACCTTTTCACTGGCTTTAGATTTTTTCTTCTCCTCTGCTTTCAGTGTATTTTCCACTCCCAGTCTAGTAGCATGTAATTTTTCCCACACTTAATCTTATTGCCACATTTTAGTGGTTACTAGTATTTCAAACATAATTCAATTTGGTATATCGAGCAATTCATTAACCCATTATTTACATATTTTTCCTATATCCCTATTTTAAGTGTTATTTTTTTAACATCTTTTTCTATGTTATTTAAAATATAAAGACCAGGTTTAACAATGACCTTCCCTCTATGAAATTTGCAATTTATTTTCTTTTTCTGTTTCAAGCACTTACAGTTTAAAAGGGCTGTGTCCAATAAAATCCAATTTGAATTGACATCATAAGAAAGATTTTTAAAATACTACTTTTTAATTAGGTGTTGGTACTCACATGGGCTGAATCCTTCCTCTAAATTCAGTAAAATTAATACAATGACTCAGATAACACTTCTACCTTGACTGCTGAAAGCCTCTGTGAGACAACACAACATACCAAAGATGGGAGGTGCTCAGCCTTCAAGTACTATCTTTAAAAAGAAAAACAAGCAGTAAAGAATGCCTTACCATATTTCAGCAAGGATTGAAGCTGGTAGTCCTGATTGCAAAAAAAAGGTACGTGCTTGATCACCTATGATAAACAAGAGAGAAAGACAGCCTTTTACACCAGAGACACAGATTTTAAGATGAGCTCAGCACTCTCTCGGGGGATCAGATTTTCAAAAGGAACCAGCACACTGGATGCCAAGCTTTCCAGGTTTTTTTTTCTCAGCTTTTAATGCTGTTTACAGTGATTGTCAGGTACCCATGTACCATGTAATCCCCAATCCTCGCTCTGAGAAGTGACTTCAGATAGCTATAAAAACTTGAACAGGTCACAAATCAATAGCTGCCAACAGTTTAAAAGATGCAAGACTTAAAGAAGTAAAAGTGACTGAAAATTTAGTCCTGCTCCAATTACTTTTACAGGAAAGGATAAGCATGCTATTTCTTTCCTTCTCCTCTATCCCCAGTAAAAACTAGGAAAATACCATGTTCTAAATAATAATCTGTTCTGTCAGATAACACCCACTATTTCAGTATTTCAGGAAGGGAATGGGAACTGTTGTGCAATCCCATACCAAGTTCCACATCAACTGGTACTGATCATGCTGTAAACAAACACAAAACACTCACAGTGGTGTTTATGCTTACCTCTGAGTGAATTACAGATGCTTAAAGCTAAGACTTCAGGTTATTCTTTCAGCTCTCTCTTCCCTTATATTTATACACAACCCTTTACTTCAAGCATTTGCCAAATAAATAATGAAGCCTTCAGATGCATGTGCAGGTAAGAGCCCAGTTGTGGCCTAAAGGCAGTTTCCAGAACTGCCTGTTTTTCAGCTAGAGGTAAACACCAACCTCCCGGCGCTGTCACTTAGCCTGAAGATGTGCATGTTCCAAACTGACAATTTCCCACTCTCTTCAGTCCTTTCCAGCCCCAAAATGGGAAAAGCAGGAGCAACTAGACAGGGCATTAGCAGATAGCTGGGTAGGTAGAAGCAATCAGGGCTGGTCTTTACTGCCCACACACAAAGAACAGGGCATTCTTAAATTAAGTCATCTTTACCAGTGAACTCGAGTGTTTTCATGATATCACATGCAGATTCTTACATTTAAAACCTGCAAGTTCTGAGGTGCATAGCAACATGATCCAGTTGTTCCACAGCTGAATGCAACTGGAACTGACAGCAGGGCAGTGCAAAATGCCATTAGTGTATCCAGAACCTGCTGAAGGCCCAATGCATAATAAATTCCAAGCAGTCACTAACAAGGACAAGCTGTCAGCATCTCTCTCCCTGCCTCCTCCTCCAAAACAAAGATATCTAACAGCACAGTATTCTCTAACACTGCTCAGACAGAGGAGAACCACTTCTGGTGTCTCTGGCGTCACTTGCCACAATAGCTACTGTAAGTGCTCCTTGGCAGCCTCCCATCTAAGCACAGATTTTGCCTGATACTCTGGTTTCTGAAACCAGACAGAATGACAGCACAAAGCTGGTAGCTGCAGAAGTGATAGGGTTAATGGAATAGTGCTCCTGTGCCAGACCTTAGAGGAAGGCTTGTAAAGTTTACTAATAACCCGTGGCTGTTTGCCTGAAGAATATGGTTATTAGTCACACAACAAAGGGCTAGAAATAGGATGCAGTTCTCAAACTGTTTTACAAAGATAGGTATGTGTACACAGAAGTTAATGTGTAATGCAGAGCCTCAGACCAACCTGTAATGTAGCCTCCCGTGGGTTTAAGGCTATCAAACTGCTTGTCATGCTTGGCCCGCTCTTCGGAGGTGATGGCCCATATGTTTGGACCTCCTGAAAAAAAACAAACCAAAACAAAATTCCCAGTGAACAACCTTTAAAAAATAAAGTAAGGCGCTTGCAAAATAAAAGCTTGGCTTCTCAAGAGACAAAGTTAGATGTGGACACACCCAGCCCCTACCAGTTTGGCAAGGACGTTATGAAACACAAACCTGCTTCCCAGATGTGCAAGCGGAGCTGAGACAATCCCTCAGCCAGACTGCTTTACCCTCGGCTTTCAAACAAGCTCTGTCGTCCTTCAAAGCTGGTGCAAAGCAGTTTCCTGTCGCTGCTGATTGTTTGCAGCCTGGGCAGGATGCACATGTCTCACCATACCCTGTGTGAGCCAAATACTCCCCTGGTTCACTGATAAACAAATCGCATTCAGTGTCACTCGGGTTCTCGTGCAGAGGGGTAACACCCTCCAGCTGCCAAGAAGGCTCATGCTTGTCTTGTCAATAGTCTAAAAACAAAATTGTGACTGCTAAAAAAAATATGTTGGGTTTTTCTGACAAAGGAGTGACATTCTGGGCTTTTTTTTTTTTTTTTTTTTTTTTAATAATATACCATTTCAACTTCACATTTTTTGATCCTTCACAAAGCATAAAATATTGCAGCCACAGGGCAGCAAATAGAAATTGCAGGGAATAGTCATGTTTACAGAGCTGTGCTGATAATACCAGGCATAACCAGAGAGACTTTCAGAAATGCTCCAACCTGCTGCATAAAGGTCAGGGTGTGTGTCCTTTGCAGGAAAAGCAGTTTGCCAGAAATAAGTGGGTTTGGTTTTTAAGTAGGAGGAAGTTTCAGTCGGGAAGTTCTTGACAAATATTTAATTTTTCATATCAATGAATGTGAGAATTAGCCAAAATTCTGAATGGAAACCCTTGAAACAGCATTAAAAGGTTATTACTTCAAAACATCTCTAAAATTACCTTCTCCAGAGCATTACTACTTCCAAAGAACTGTTAATCTGTTCAAGTATTTGTATTGCTCACTAAAAGACAGTGAAGGGAATAAATAATTCTTCTAATAAGATACCAACAACTTGCCTTAGAAACCACAGCACTTTGAAAGGAAGTTACTATAAAATGCTTCCTCTTTTCCTACATAAATCTAATTTCAAAGCTTTAAACCTACAAAATTTCAAGAGCTTTTTGCACTCTTTTTTCAAAGAACAAAGTGAAGGGACTGCAAGCTGACGTACTTGCCATATTGACACAGTAATAATGTTAATCATCTCTCATCTGTCTTTATCCATATAAGCAAAGCCATTTTCAAAAAAACCCTTAATGTCTCCTCTCAAGAAGGCCCTGCTAAAACTGCCATTCTCCTTGCATGTGTACAGATTTAATTCTTTACCCTTGCTCCTTAATAGGGAAATACAAATAGTTAAAAAGGCCAAAACAAATCAGAAACTCACTGGGGAGATGACTGACAGAAAAGACGTGAGGGCATTAGGATACAACCTCTACACACTTCAGTTTGGAGCTTTGCTTCCCTCTCTTGGGGATATACCATTTTTTTTTTTTTTTTACTGTGGTCTCAGTGAAAGGGTCTTCTTCCAGGTTGCACGTGAAATTGCACTTCAACACCTGCCCCCTTCTCTCTTCTGATTAAATGAGTATAAATAAATCTAGATTAGATACTGATAATAAAGTGAAATAAATCTAAATCAGATGCCTGTAAGTCGATGGGCAGTGAGAGCATTCCTGTAATACACAAATAAGGACAACTCATACCCAATGGCAAAAATTAGAGCAGCACTTAGATCTCTTTAAAGTGTTAATTTTAAGATACAAGTGGAAAGTGCATGACATGGTTATGCTTATAGACATTGTCTGGACAAGATGAAGAAATGCTCCTAAAGCTGCCAGCAGCAACTTCAGAGAACTTGACCATTTTTTTCATTTATGGAAAATATTAACAACATCCCATTTTTCTTATATTAAATACTATTCTTTAATCATCTTTTGAAGCAGGCAGCTACAACACTCCTTGGATTTTTAAAATTGATGCCTGAAGGGTTAAGACCACTACAATATATTGATATGGTCAGTGGCTGCAAAGCGATAAAAATACATTAACAATTCCTTGACTAGAGTTATGACCATCACCACAGCCTCCCTAAAGAATCCTATTTACATTGTAAGACAACTTCTGTTTACATATGTATTGAAATGCAAAACTTCTCACTTGTATGTAACAAATCAGGCAAGAAGATGGCAATCGATCTTGAAAACCTTCTTATATATTTTAGCAAAACACCTCTTTGAATACAATCTGGTAAATTATGTTTCCCCTCCAACTATGAAATTTGAAGTTTTACATAGCAGTGTGTCAAATGTATTAAAATCTTACAGGTCAGCAGTAAAGTCTAATTCAACAAGTGATTCAAGATCCACATTCACCCTTCATTCTCATTTTTGCCTTCATTAACACTCCTCAACAGCCTCATTATTTTTTGCACACAAAATATTTTGTGCACTTTTACCTCTGGAACTAGAACCTCAAGGTCCCTTCCAACACAAGCCTGTGATTCTGTGATCTAGTCCAAGCCCCCTGCAACGAGCAGCGACATCTTTAACTAGGTCAGGTCGCTCAGAGCACCTTCCAACTCAGCCTTGAATGTTTCCAGGGATGGAGCATCCACAGGTTCTCTGGACAACCTGTGCCAGTGTTTCAACCACCCTCATAAAAAAATTCTTCCTTACATCTAGTTTAAATCTGCCATCTTTTAGTTTAAAACCATTAACCCTTCTCCTGTCACAACAGGTCCTGATAAAATGTTTGTCCCAATCTTTCCTATAGGGCCCCTTTAAGTATTGAAAAACCACAAAAAATTCTCCCTGGAGCCTTCTCTTCTCCAGGCTCAACAACCCAAAATTTCTTGCAAGTATAAATTTCCTTTAAAAAAAACCTTTGACTACAACTACATTATTATATAAACAAGTGCTTCTACGACCTTCTACAGTTCTTGTGAGCCAGTGCAAGCAGGTACTGTCACAGGAAAGTGATAATTCCAAACACACATTATCAAAAGAACATTGTGAGAATGTTTCAGGGACCTGAAATAAGTTCTACCCTAACATCACTTAAGAGAGAGTGTCTGCCATCTGCAGTCTGAACTAGAACAGGTCATTGTTTTATGAATACAGGTTAATAACCGTTGGACAACGAAAATATTTTTTTAAAATTAAAAAAAAAAAATCAAACCCCAATAGTTCTGGTAGAGATTCACAGTAAGGGCAGTTAAACCCCACCCACACTTCTTATTTAAAGGATTCACTTGGTTTTTTCCAACTCCTACCTCATATGCTACAGAAACAAGATAAAGAGCACAGAACAAGAGGGAAGGTTAAAGCACTGCAAATGCTTAGTTTTAGCTTAACCAGGTGCTCATGACTTTTGATGTCACCATTTGGTGATACAATTAAGTAAAATCTGTGTACAGAAATCATCATACTAAGATTCCTCAAAATATTGAGCAAAAATACCACACCAGTCTATCTGAAATAAACACTTGGAACGATGGGATTCACGAGGTCTTGGCAATTCTACAAAGCCTTGTCATGACACCAATCTCCAAAGTAATTGTTGGGTTCGCCTTTAGTACAATCAAAACCATCAAAATAAAGACTTACATGGACAAAATTACTTTGAAACTCGGTTCTCCCATGCAATCACAATCAAAACATGCTGCAATCTTCACAAACACTGTGATTGTTTCCCGAAACTTCCATATGCAGTAAAAATGGACACTCAGCACAACTGCTGAGAAAAACCACACTGCCCAACTTTTGGGCACATTGAACTGTGAGGAAGGGAAGAGTACTCCTTTTTTTGGAAGGGCAAAGCTGCAGGAAGAGTCAAACAAACATCTGCTACTCAAATTGTATCATCTAAACTTATCTGGCTTAGCTCAACATTTTTTTGCATTAACATGCCTTCAGTCCCAGGTTTGAGAAATGTCTTGCCCATAAACCAGATCCAATTAATTTTGCCCAAAGATATTTCTGTTCGTCCTTCCTAACAGCCCTAGTCCTTACTCATGGCAAGTCATCCATGAATCATAAACTCAGATGCAGGGGTCCTCTCTTCACAGTCACCTCCCTGACCACAGGACAGGCAAGAGGTAGGAATCTTCTTCATGGAGCAGTGGTGAACCTTTGGCTCTCCGGAGGTTCTGAGCTGGCATCAAGTAGCAGTGAACTACAATACTTTTAAAAATCAGTTCTGCATAAATCAAAGTACAGTTGCTACTACATGCTCTCATGAGAGGTTTTGCTGCAGCCAATGAATGGTACACTGCTACTTTTCTGACTTAGCTTAAATTTCCTGGATGTTTTCAAGAGACAAATAATTTTTCCCAACTATAGCTGGTAAAATTTTGGAGGGGAAAAATAGTACAGTCTCTCTGACAAGATGATCACTCATAAGAATAAAATCATTATTCTTCTAAGGGGGTTACTTTACAATCTCACAACTTCACAAAAGAAGCAAGACCCGCCTGGACTGTATATGACTACACTGCATTTTCAGGAATCAAAACTCAAGAAATGCTGAACTCTGGAGGTTTTTCCCCACAGAGACTTTCCCTATAATAGAATAACTACTGTCTTCACTTGCTTTTTTTTTTTTTGTTTGTGAAAAAAGCACGTCTATATTAGCAACACTTTTGGAAGGCAGAGGTTAAACTGTCCTTCTGTTCTACAGAAGGCCAACACTTTCAGAGAAGAATCGGGATAAACATCAGGACTGGCAACTGTTCTTGAGACTCAACATGGGAAGCCTGGACTCACAATCCCAGAAATGTCTCTGCAGATTCCCTGCTCCAAAACAGAAAACCAACAGTGAAAGCTCCTTTACTTTCCCACTCCTCAACTCTACAACACATCCAAGAGTTCAAAGTCACATGTGGAATCCACCCATGTAGAAAGTCCATATGGAATGACAAAGACCCACACAAACAACCTGAAGCTCAACATGATTTTAATGTAATGTTAAGACTTCTC